AGCGTCTTACTTTTCATAGAATAATAGAACACTAATAAGAGACGGGGTCACGTGAAAGTAACAATTTTCGAGGTGGAATTACATTTATTATTTTTAATTCTATCATCAAGAATTTACCAAGATGATAAAAGTGATCCTATTCAATTTCATCCTGCTATGTACTGAACTAAACGGACTATTCTTTTAGGCTAATTCAATTGATTTCGTTATACTTTATCTCTTTCGCTGCGTCCCCATCCCCACTATGTCGATCGACAAAACCAGTCGGCAAAACCGATCGGCCTATTTTGTGTCTCCATTATGCCGAGCAGCCTGTTGTCACGTGCCGATAAGATATCCCCATATGTTCGGTTTTGCTGATTGGTTCTGCCGGTCGGCATAATGGGGACGCAGCTTTAGTGTGAAAGTGCATCATTCAACCTCGAAAATCGTATTGTAAAGTGCTTGGCCGGTCAAAGGGAAGCACTTACATCAGTAATCAAAAGTTCCTCGCCGTCATCGAGGCCAGGGATTGTCGTCTTGCCTTGCGATACAAAGTAGTAGTCATTGATGTTGTTGGACAGCAGCAACATCTCTGCAGGTGACCAAAGAGGAAACAAAAAACATGCGGGCGTTAACTACAACTGAGGGTGCCACGTTTTTCAGTGGCTTTCCTTCAAGATTTATCTAAAAGTTTTATCCTTTCATAGGCTCTTTTTTGAAAACGATCTTGTAGAAAAATCGTTTAATGTTTGCTAGAGCTGTTTTACGAAGCTCTTTTAAACTCAATTTCCTTAAATTGTTCGCTTCTTTGTCTATACGAATTTTCATGCGATAATTTACACACTTTCGAAATAAGTATCATATTTAACGTATTAAAAGAGAAGCATAACAATATATGAGTAAGGTTTCTACTTAAGGAAACAATACACGGTACAATTTTCTCATGTACCGTTCTATAAGATCCTTCCCCTCCATGTATAATGGGTTTAATTCATAATGTGGGAAAGTCCTGTGCTTAAAAGGACCTTAACAAATGTACGCAGGTGTTTCTGCTTCAAAGGAATACAAATGTCATTTTTACAAACATTCCACTTAAAAAGAAATTCAGGAAAAATTAAAACGAGGACACGGAAACGGAACCCTGGCATTCTTCTCTTTCCGTCGGAACATTAAAACCAAACATACTCTAAGTTTACGTAGGAAAACGTAATCATCAAACTCAAAAGAAGGGGGACACAAAAGATGTAAAAGGAAGAACAACAAAAGAAGCCACAAAGGATATGAACCACGAGTGGGTACAGCAGAAGGGTCGAAAAAAAAAAATTCAATAAGATAGAAAATATGAGATTGGAGGGAGTGATGCGTAGCCCTGGCATGATTGTCAGGTTCTTACGTCAGTCAAAGTACACTCCTCGCCATCATCGACATTTGGGATCGTGGTCTTGCCCTGAGAGACGAAGTAGTAATCTTGGATGTTGTCCGACAGGCAGCACATCGCTATATCGAACGAGGATCAAAAAAGTGAAAAGTCTGATAAAACGAAAGAGGAAGGTCCACAAAATAATCGACTCGCGGTGAAATTATTTGTGCGATAAAACTGTAAACTACAAGGAGTCATGTAGTTATGTAGTTTCCGCTGCAGTTTCATTCACCTTTTTCCTATTTACAAGCGTGGTTATTAAATAAGGAACAGGAGGGTACCGATGGTAGTACAGATACATTGCTAACTTGAATAGGTGTCTCCTTTAAATTCAATAACAGATACGGTCCAACTGTGAGATTTTCTAAAATAAATTTAAGAGTAAATAGTACACAGAATTTTGGTATTTTCTGCATATTTCTGCATTGCGTTATGATGATCTAATTGTGTTATCATATCGACACCGAGTATGTTTTAAGCTAACAATATATAATATGTACTTTCCAGTTAATCGTATAATTTTTCGCAAAAAACAGTGAAAAGGATTACTGGTTGATGTCTTCGTGATTCCCCTCCCATTATAGGCAATAGATATATACTTCCCAACTTAAACGATAAATCGCTGCTTGAATAAAATACTTTTTATACCATTGAATTAGATTAAATTTGTGTTAATAATTAATATTGGATAATAATTAATTCGTAATAATGGAGTCTGAGTAGTCTTACCCTTCAAACCATTAACAGAGCCGGACATCATTTGGTAGAAGATATGGTATGAACGCTCCAGAGTCTGTTGGGAGATGACACGTGCTTTCTCCAGTAGATCTATATAAAACAGATTGTATTATTTTTACAGTATAGGTACAGTTTCGAAGCCGTTAATGCTTCTGTTGTGTCAGTATACTTATTTTATTTCCTCGAAAGTAGTAAAATTGCGTTGTTATCGAAAATAAATCATGATGCAATTGTTTCTTGTCTGATATAATATGACTGCCATAAAAAGACGTAATGTCAATATAAACGTAAATAAAACGATTCGATTACAAAACTAGTATATATGTGCGAACAGAATCACTAACTATAAACCAACTACATTCCTTTCTAAATAAGTCTATCTACGTAGCTAAGACTGCACTGAAATATAGTACAAATTATACAGCGATTGTATTTAGTCCAATGAAACTCTCAGTCGAAATGAATATGCATTATAGAATATAAAATCTGGTTAAATCGAAATAAATTAATAATAATCTACAAATGGAAGCTTACAGGTTTCGATGTCAGCACCAGCCAATTTTCCAGATGGACCAAAGTGAATACGAATGAATTTACCCTATTCAACAGTAAAGAGGAGCGAAATAGTAATTAGTTTAATGTAGACAGGGCATTTTATACAACATGTAGTATGAGTATCGCGTGAAATAAGTGAGCACCAATGGCAATTTTATTTCCAACACTGATGCTTCTTCTGTGTACAAAAATCATGGAGAAAATTAACTATACTTGATACTTATTTTCTGCCATATTTACACATCATTATTTAATGCGCATGAAAGTGCTATTGTAGTTAATAAGTTATATACATAATTTATATTATTAATTGCTTGATTCTAGAATATATCTAACAATTCTATAGTGTCCAAAGGTATGAGAGTGGGGCAGAGAGAGAGAGAGAGAGAGAGAGAGAGAGATAAAACTTACGAAACGTGAGGAATTGTCATTACGGACGGTCTTGGCATTACCGAACGCTTCCAATACGGGGTTTGTCTGTACAACTTGATCCTCCAGGGAACCTTTCTTTTGATTCGCCTCATCAGCTTTCTTAGTCGAAGCACCGACGGTAGCGAAGTACGCAATTACTTTCTTCGTATTCTCAGTCTTTCCAGCACCAGACTCACCAGTGATGAGCATAGACTGATTTTCACTGTCTATTAACAGAAATGTAGATATGAGATTTAGTGATTTTGTGTGCACTGATGGTATTCTTACATAAAACTAATGATACGATATACATACTGGTCAACATGTTCACGTATGCTCCGTCAGAAATGGCGAAAATATGTGGTGGCACTTCATTACGCCTTTTGCCTCGGTATAATTTTGCGCATCTCGATGTATACACAGGGAAACGTTTGTAGGGATTTATAGCTACACAGAACAGGCCGGAGTAAGTCTGTAAAAGATCATTCGTTCATTAAGAAAAATTTCCTTTCGAAAAGATTTACCAAATGGAAAGAAAACAAGTTTAATTTCTGATTTGTTTCTATTTTGCAAAGTGATTTAAATAATTGAATATTGAAATACATCCTGTAGTTGAACATGTTACGTAACATGTATTATGCAACATAATACAATCAAATTAATAAGAAATCAGAAATCAACACAAAATAAACATAACAACAATTATTATAATGCATACAAATGTAATAAAAAATGACCAGAATTCAACATAAATGTCAATGCCATTTTGTACGAAAGAATCTCGAGTCTTGAATGAGAACTTTCTTCGTGCACACACCGCTCGTTGGTTACTTCCTTCCGTAATGCAAACGATATCAAAGCAGCGAGAAATTAAAGATCCAATAAGTTTGTATTTCGAATTTTGTGTAATTTCCATGAAAAGAACGATATTTTCGTCCGAACTTTTTATGATCTTGTGAATGTGAATTACGAAGGTTTGATAATAAAACTAGGGGGTCAAAAGAATGTCGTGACACGTCCAGGTGTTTTAAGTCGACATTTCGGAACCATTGAAATGTTCATGCAGACAGAAAGTATTGCTTAATATAACTGATTGGTGACCCAATCTCTTCATAGGAACGAGGATACGTGCATTGAAACACGTAAAGTGGAAAGAATTGAGACATCGTGGCTCGTTTAGGTACCTTAGGTCGATGTCCCGAAACAGTTGCATGCAATTCTGTACGAAATAGAATTCGAAATGCGGTTTCAAAAGGAGAAAAAATATTTCAGGATGAAACGTGGTGGCACGTCCAAGTGCTTTATCCAACGCTTCCTAGCGCAAACGTGACTTCCCTTCGCGTAGGGCCAGGGTAGGAGAGAATATAACAGAAGCGTGAACATCACGTCATCACTATAGAGAACGATCCTCCTTTAGGGGAAATAGCCTTACGTAAATAAGTTTGGCGTAGTAACGTTGCTTTAGATTGTGAAGAACCGAAGCATCGTTGAGATAGGTCAGATTTGACATGTCCTCGCATTTTTCATACTTTGGCGGATTCACTTGTTGCAACTGGTCCTTTTTGAAGTCCTTGCTCTATTCAGAGGAAAAGAAAGAAATGTGATTAATTAATAGCAAAAGTCAAACTTACGTATATCAGTTTGCTGTAGTAACGCTGTTTTAAATTGTGCAACACAGACGCTTCGTTCAGGAATGTCAGATCCGCCATGTCCTCAGACTTCTCAAACTTTGGCGGATTAACTTGAGACAGCTGATCCTTGCGGAACTGTTTCGACTGTACAAGCATTATTTTTCAATATCTTTAACGTCATCCTAGTTTGTTACATGACACAAATTTCCTAACATTCATCGGACAATCTTCAAGGAACACTCTAGAATTTTCAAATTTACTATTAAAAATTATTTTCGGAATATTTAAATAAGAGTAATAACGTTTCTCATTCTGTAGTGTTCTATTGAAAATTACCTATTATATGTATATATATTTTTTTCGGGGAACAGTTAAGTAAAAACTTCTATTGAAATGTAATATTTCGTTTCCGTTATGCTTGTCGGAAACGTATACCACAGTTAAACTAAAATAAAATTACTGTACGTAAATACGGGGCCATTTAGTGAGAATACATAAAATTCACTTTACTACCATACATTAATTACTATTAATGGGAGAATATAGAATTATGACACTAGACGTGTCAGTAGATGTTATATCATATCACATCACTTATAAATTAGTAAATTGAATTTATGTGGATACACGATTTTTATCGAATACGTATTCATCGATAGCTACAACATTATTGACGCAAATGGGTGTACAGTCATGAACGTTTTTATTTTCGTATATGAAGATCAGTCTGCAATTTCCGTTGGTACACAATTTACAGTCAATGTCAAGATGTAAATGTAAGTTGATAGATGTAAAAATTATTCATACGAATTAATTAATTGACAAATTTCTACACCTCGATTCAGTATATTTTAATATACACTGTCATGCGTGTCTTCCACCATTCCGCTTTCAGTGCTCTAAAAATATATTGACCCATGTTTCGAGAAGTGGCGTTTCAATTTATTATTACCGGTGCCGACGACGATGCTAACAATAGCATTTCAGCGACGGTCGCCGGATGACAAGAAGACCCGGCAGGGTTTGCTGAACCATTATGTAACGAAGCACGTAAAATAGTGAAATTTAAGTGAGACTACGTGTCAGAGTACGTCTTTGCCGATAAAAATAGTAAAAGAAGATCGTACAATTTCTTTATGTCATCTCAAAATGTCAGATAATCCCAGGAAATTCATTCTTTTGACAAAAAGCTTTACACAGTCTTCGCTGTTGCAGAAAACAAATTTTCCTCCCATTAGTAACATACTTTTATGAATTTATGTATGTACACAGTATTCTAGCAATTACCGAACGTATTCAAAAAGAATTGTAACATTTCAACGTGTTTAATATTACTTAAAGACCCTCCAATGTATTCTTGCTACAGAAACAGCTGTTCTTAAATACTTCTAAAGTAAAACTGCTCTGAAACACGTATATAAGTAAACACTGTTTTATAATATAAGATCGCTAAATGTTTATCTGATGCAACGCAAGCTTTCGATTCACGATTAAAATGAAAAAAAGAATAAAAGAAAGAAGGTGGCTACTTGCCACAAAAAGATTAAAAATTCTAATCTGTTTGCCAGTATGTATATATCTCTAGCTGCAAATGTTGAAACATTTTGCACATCTTTAAATGCAATTTAAAAAGCAAAGACTGCGTCGATTTTTAAACATAATATATCTTCCTGTGCTGTAGAAAAGGGACAAATTTGGGACATTGTTTTTTATGTTGTTAGGCAAAAATAAGGACGGGAGAAATTAAAAGGAAATTGCTCCTTCAAACAGGAAAAAAAGAAGAGAAAAATTACCTCGCCGCCGGGTAATCCGACGGAGACAACATCGCCCTTGGTAGCCTTGATTTCACCAAGGAGATATCCTTCCTTCTCATCGGGTACCCAGCAAGCTTTTTTCGCATCGTACGGTTTCGTCTGGTCGATTCTCTTCTGCTCAAGAGAGACGAAGAGGTAAGGGGTCGGATCGGGATCCTCTCCTTCTTGTTTTACTGGTTTCGGCATCTTTGGTTGTTCCTTTCCCTAGTTGATTTTATTTACTAGTACGTCCTCTTGTTCCCAGGAAGGTCTACGTGCCTTCTACGTCGTCGTTTTCCCACGTATCAAGGTGTGGGAAGAATTTCCGTATTACTTCGTTCCTTCACTCTTCTTCTCGTTCTTTGAAGAATTCGGCGGCGGCGGACGGACTACTTCTGGCGGCACGTTCTGAGCGGCCCTGCGTAACAAATAATAATCAGTCGTCATTATTATTAGGTTAATTTTTGGCACTGTTTTAGTACTCTCACTTGACTAAATAAATATGTACGACTTTGAGTAATATTCGTAAATAAATCCTTAAATTTGTATTATACAATTTATATGTTATGTATAATATGAAATTATTTATTAATAATATGTAATAATATTTGTAATAGTAAATTTGTAATGAATTCAATTCTCAAGTAATGTGCCTGTGTATTACAAATTCTCAGTTCACCAACCACATTTTGACTAGATCATATAATTTCACATTACATCAGACCTTAATGACGTTAGTATAATGACTTCAAACAGGAACAGCTTTCTGCTAAAAACAGCATCGAGAAACTGACCAGGTTATAACATATAAGTAGTATAATATAATTTTACAAACATGATATTTCACACAAAAAGCGAGTCCCTACATTTGTCTCTGTATTCTATAATAATGATCCTCCAGGGAGTGATTGGAACAACCGTGTGTCGTCGCTGATTGGTCACCATATTTGTGGCAAAAACGGATGTAGACAGAGACGGAAGATAAAGAAAGAAAAAGACAAAAATACGGATAGGAAGAGATAGATAAACAACAAACTTGCGAAACAGACAACGTATCCAATCAATCGTCTGTTTCGCACGTATGTCATTTCCGGTTTCGCCACAAATGGCTGCGGTTGTTCCGATCACTCCCTGGATGATCATTAGTCTATAGTAATTATTATTTGAGAAACAAAACAAATACACAATATATTAGGTAGCGAATTATTTAGAAATAATCCCAATATATCTCTAATGACACTATACACATAACTCGTTATCTAAATATATGCTTTTTGGTGGTATTTATTCTTCTTTCAGTAAAGTGATGTAACAGCTTAAAACAAATTAATTTGAAATGTTCCCTATCTATTAGATAATTAATTGTCTATTAGGTAACTCTATCTAGTAGGTGAACTGTGTTTTCGTATAATTTTTAAAGTTATTAAGAGTATAGTGGAATGGTTTATATCAATGTAATTATGCTTTTCAATTGTTAACATTACTGCAACTAATTATCACCAAATAAACAATAATTTGCCTTGGATTGAATTATACATCTTGACATAAATTGTACGAATAATTGATAACGTTTAATCGAAAGCATTATCTTTATATATTTGTGTTTCTTTCGTAAATTTATTGGAAATGCGGTGCATTGCTTTATATTGGCATAAATGGTTTTTACAATCAGAACGAGTTGTTGGCAATATTTTGACAATGGTGCATGAGAAGACGGTAGAGAAAAAGGAGACTGTGCTATCAATTTCTCTGTCACATTCTATTTTTTGTTTCTAAAACCAGCTAAATATTATTTCGTCGCAAAACAATGCGAAGGTATTCTCGAAATAATTTATGTATGATTTAAAAAGTACGAATACGGTTAACGAGAAGTATCACAAAATCAAAAAAAAGTATTTCAATCAAAATATTACAAATCCTAACATTACGGAGGAAAAATAAATACTATAGTGTACCAATATAGGACAGAAAATAGGACTGTTCGGTGTTCGACAAATAAGTAGAAGAACCTGCGCAAACAGTCTAAAAATAACAATAAGAAACAGATCAATCGTTGAAACCGGACACTCGATTTCTAACCGGCCTAGGAAAAACAGTGTTTCCGGAACTACACAGCGGAAACAAAATGGCGAAGTCCGCACTTTGACGTCCTGTAGAAAATTCGAAAGTTTATAAGCACTTCAAACTAGGAGAATTAGAAACTTTTAGAAACTTTTTTTAAGAACTTTCAGTTGATTCAAGAATACGAATCAGTGAAGGATATTCACTGAAGAAATATTACACACGAAAGCAGACGAAGTATGTTGCCGAATTTGATCAATCTTTCTTTTTAGTACATGTAGATAAAATTTTATAACGTATGACAGCGCATACTTTTTCCCGAAATATCTTCGAAAATGGATATTTGTGTACACATATCGCACTATTTAATCGGTATCGAAATGAGCATTGCCAACAAAAGAATACAAAAAATCGGCAGTGGATTATTATAACGCGTACAAAAACTTTTGTATTGCAGGTCTCCTGGTATTTAAAACCACCTTAAAGTTGCACTGATTTCTGATATTTAACACCAATGACATCACCGGTTGATCAAACTCACGCTCGAAGAATTCCACTGCATTTGATATTCACGGACATATTAGAAATGGAGAAGGAAGTTACGAAGGTACGTAAAAAAGTTGAAGGAAAAAGTGAAAAAAAAAACACTGTTGCGTTCACTAAAGGAAAGGTCGCGCACAAAATTTTTCCTTTTTCGGGACGATATCGGTTTCTTAGTGATAAAATAGGGACTACACCTCGAAACCAATGTCAGTCACAGTTCGAAGATCGAGCTCGAAAATCACTAGCGAAATCTGAACTGCATCCACGGGAGTTCTTCCGTCTACCAAGGAAAAGAACAATTACCAGGCGATGAACAGCACTTCGGTTTTTTACCTAACTACTCCATAGAAAAGAACAGTTTGCAAGACTGAATAGGTCACTAGGCACAAGCTGCGGATGAACAGATCTCGAACAAAATCCCCTAGGTTCTTCTCACAACCACGGTTCTGTTTTTATACCTTTTGTTTCGTTCTTTTTGTATTATACTTTTTTTTTTTTTCGGTTTTGCAATTCTCTCGGTTTCTTCTATCCGTCTTCGTACTCGTATATGTATGCGTTTCCCTTTTCACCCTTCTTTTCCGTTTGCAATCCAAAGTATCTCAGCGTTAATGTTGTAATGTAATCAAAGAGAGCAAAAAAGCTAATAATCAGACGAACACCGACGTGCTGCACTTACGTTAGAGAGCCGTTCTGTCGGGGAAACGAGCGGGGGCTCCCAATATAAGCGCGTGCAACGTGATCCTAGAATATAACGAGCTCAACGATTGGTCGACTTCCTGGGCCAATACGGGACCGTGTTAGTTCCTGGGCCAATCTACCTTTTTAGGTGGAGATGATACCAAAAGTGTGACAAGGGGTGGTCACGGAAAGCTACAACCGCCTCACTTAGGTGAGTGAGATGAAAATAGACGTCGAAGCGAGATAAAGAGCTACTTTCAACAGGCTCGCTTTCAGGCACATCCGTTTTTCTTCTATCCCCTGTTGTACCTTCGATTCTGTCTTACGTCCCTAAAGACAATTCTAGCTGTTCCTCCACAAAGTGTACCATCAAGGAATGATATCTAATTTAGGATGGCCTACGTTCGAACTAAACGATCTCACGTGGAAACGCGGAGCTTTTGATCTGCTCCAAGATCAGCGGTCCACGTGGAAGACGCACGTGCTTGATGATAGCAGCTGCAAGCATCTTCGATGAGCAAATTGCCCTCACTTCACTGTTGGCTAGAACACTGAAAGAATTAAGAAGAAACTCGAAATTTGTCCGAAGCTCGGACTTCCGCAGATTTCAAATACCTTTAAATATACCTACATGTGTATACACAACAACGCGCATTGTTTTCGAAATTGTATGTATGTGAAACTTAGAAATTTTATTTTCATTACTTCCAATTTAACCCTTTTAATTTTACACTTCATTACACTGAACAGTACCCACTATTTTCTTAATTCTTAGTCCGTTGTTTTTATTATTCAACACGCTGTCTATCTTCCTTCTGTACCTGAAGCTATTATAGGAAAAATATAAACTATTCTTCCATGGAAGAGAAGTGTTGGTTTGGGACGCTGTACCTGAAAATATTGCTATTCGAACATTTACTGTTACTTCTGGACAATATATTCATTATAATTAAAAACTAAAAGACACTTCACTAACACGTTCAGTCACATAGCATTTCGCATATTTTATTATAATCTAAACAATTCCGGGAAATAGTTCTAGAGAAGTCATTAAATAGTTTTCGTGAAAATTTATAATGGGATCAGATTGGCAAGGTATAGAAAACACGGTGGAAAATAATGGTCGTGTGTAGATATGTGGGACAAAATATAAAAAAATCATTAAGCAAAAATATGCGCGTTAAAAAAATGACTGGCTTGAGAGATTATCATGGTATATGAATAATTGATTTCTTCAAATAAGAACGCCGTACAATGCACTAAATTGTTTTGTATCATATTTACATATGTTACGAAATTTGAAGTTTAATGATATTATTACAAATGTGACAAGATGAAAAACACGACTAGCTCATACAAGCCTTATAAAGTTAAAAGTGTCACCTACAGTAGGTGCATGCTACTTGCCTACAACTACAATTTCAAAAATCCAATTGTCCATTGGTATCAGAGTTTCACAAATATCTGATAAGAGATAGGTGAACGTGTTTCGAAAAATATTTCTATAACCACATTTAACATCTACCTGTTGACACATTTGCTAATTAGTAATGATTTACTAATACATTTACGATTAAATTCACAGAGATTTATAATGTCAAAGAAACTGGATAAAGAAGCAGAACCTTTCAAAAAATGGTATGGTTTACTCGGAATAATAAAGATACTGCAAAATACACACTTCTTCCAAGATATATCGGAACTCATTATTCCTCTGATTAGTGTGATATAATTTTTGAACGAACGTTTTCAAACAATTGGGGACGTGGTCAATGTACCCCTCGACAAATTATGATATAGTAAATTTCGAGCAGGTATTAAATGCATTACAATAGCAATGCTTAAAATATAAGAGCAAATTTTAAAGATTCAACTGAAAATATGACAGCACTATTTTGTTACACTTATAAAATGTATAAGATGTTTCCTTTATTTTTAAATAGACCGCCTATTCAAATTGCATGGATGTAAAAACTTCGTCAAAGATAAATGTATATTATTAATTCGCAAATAATATAAGAAAACAAAAATATCCTAGAAGAACCGAAAATATACAGCCAAATTGGAATTTTTCAGTAGAAATATAAAATTTTGTTGACACTGTCCATTATTGTATGCCTCATATAAATCCAACGTACTTTCTTATAATTACAACAATAAAAGGTCTAAAAATTCAATAGCAGTACAAACTTAGCGAGTGCTAATTAATAACATTCCAGAAAATTTAATAATCACTGATAACGGAAGCATACATACACATATGTATTGTGATCAAAATTCGATTATCGACATAATCGATTAATGCGATACGCAATGTTTCGTCGATGTTTATATTCAGGTTACTCGTTCAGTTCTTGTTTGTCATTACATCATAGGAACGGTCATGCTTTTTATATTGTATACTTATGTCAATATTAGGTAATAAAGGTCTTTGTGTTCACACGTGCTTTTGGCCTCTGGTTTCACATTATATTGTGACATGTATTATGTTTTAAATGTAATTCTACTTATTGTTCTAAATATATTCTTTACATAGTGTAACAATATGTTTTAAGGAATATAAAAGAACATA